TTACAAAAATATATTTATTATATTTTTAATTTATACTCTTAAAATAAGATAAATAAATTCAATTTAAAATTATGAAGCAAGAAATTGCAGCACGTGTTTTTCAATACAAAATTAAAAAGGTAAAATTGATTTCGGTCCAAATCTTTCAAGTTACTTGCAAAATTATCCTCAAAAAATGTATTTAGTAAAGTTTAAAGAGTACTTATTTAAGAAGAGATGTCTAATTTTATTGAATGAAAATTTAAAAATTAACTTTTAAAATGACTTTTAAGTAAACTCTTAAGAAACTACACATTTAAGTCTTTTCTAACCTTGCTTTAAAATATTTTTAAAAGTCAATTTTTGAATTTTCTTTCAATAAAATTTTAAATTTATGAGAAAAAATTTACTTTAAAAATAAGTGTTTTTTAAGATTTGCCAAACACCCTCAAAATCTAAGTTATTAGGGTTTTCACCTTGTAAAACTTAAGCTCTATTTCTAATTATTTTATGTTATGGCTATAGTTGTTCACATTTTGTTTAGGTCTCGCCAAAAGTAAACGTTTGATTATTACTTCTAAAATGATCTCTATATTTGTATAATTGCTAAGGTACAAAAAATATTAATTAAAGGCTATTACTAGTGCTTTAGATTATATTTTTGATCTTAAACTATAATGGTATAATATAGAGATACAAATATAATACTTTTAATTTTATAAATTTTCTATTTTTCATAAAAAAAAAAACCATGATTAACTGTATAATTACTTTTAAATATATTAATTCAAAGTCAATATTTGATAATTGTTTTTTAAATGACATATATATATCAGTACAATTACTAATGTACAAAAAAAATATTAATGTCAACTTTTTTTATTTTCCAATTAAAAATTAATATTTAAAAGGTGCATTCAATTACATCATTAGCCTATGTATTTAGGCACAAGATGGACAAATTCTAACATTTTTAGTATCATATGACTATAAAAAAAGACACAATATAATTATATAAGCAATCTCAACCTTATATTAAATCAGTGAATGGAGACAATAAGCACAAAGACACAAATTATAAATTAACGTTTAAAAAAGGCAAAATACCCAAATCCACCCCCCAACTATAGTGGCAGGGACGGATCCACCCTCGAACAAAAAACGAGGACAAATACACCCACAATGTTTTCGACTTGGACAAATAACCCATTATTTGACGGGCCACGTCAACTGCCATCATCTTCCCGTTAATGGCGTGCTTACTCAGACATTTTAAACATGGTGGAGGATTTTTTGCCTGCGTGGATGCTGAACTGGCCCATTCCCGCCCATTTTAATCATACGTGGTGATTTTTCCTCCCTTTCCATTACACGTCAATTGGGCCCCACCTATAAAAAATTCCATAAAACCCTTAAATGGCAAAAACCTAATTTTATCTATTTGGTTGAAGATTAAAAATGGAAATGAAAAGCCTTATATGCCTGTAAACCTGTAAACCCTGTAAAAGAAAACCAATCCCACGATTCTCCAATCTCAAGTGTCTCTACGGCAGTACTTGAAGAATCTCTTGATCGATAGTTGGAGGGGATACGACATTGCTTGGCGAATCTCAAGATTGAAATCGAAATAAGAAATTGAGTCAGCAGGATAAAGGGCTTCGTTGATCAGGACAAAGGGACAGTAAGTATTGCTTTTGGTCTTTTGGTGTCTTTTTTTTGTATAGAAAGTTGTGGGTGGGTTAGGGGTTTTATAAAGTGCTTACATTTTGTAGGTTTGACTGTGGGTTTGGGATGGGTAGTATATTAATGTTGATGTTAATCTGTGGGCCACTCAAAAAGGTAATGCTTTTTTTTTTTTGTCATTTTTTATTGAACAGCATGGCGGATGAATTCTGGGGAGTGTTGTGTTTTTTCCATGGTGGGACATTTGTTCCAGGACCACCAATTCAGTATAAAGCTGCTCAATGTACATCATTACCCTTTGACATGGATAGGTTAAATGTTGGTGTGATCATGGATACAATTGTTAGTTTTGGCTATGAAGATGTTATGATTAAGAATGTGTATTACACAACAATTGGAGGAAGTGTTATGAAATTGAAGTGTTTGGCTGGTGATGACAGTATTCGGGACATTTTACGCATGGTGTGTGCTGAGGGTTGTGTTGATATATATGTTGATCATGAGGTCAATTTTGCCCAACTTGCTTTTCCACAATTATGTTGGGTTGGTAACAATGTAGTTGAGGAGGGAGGCAGACATGAAGAAAGGGTAGATGAAGAGGAAAGTGGACATGAAGAAAGGCTAGGTGAGGGTACTGATGGTGAGGTTAGTGGGGGAGTAGATGAAGGTGACTTGGGTAACATAACCCAAGAGTACCCTATTGGCAGTAAGGGTAATACTGGGAATACAATTCAGAAAGGTGAATGTAGTAAGGGTAATAGAGGTAATTGTGGAAGTGGAACAGAGCTTGGGTCAACTGATGGTTATGTTGATGATTGGAGCTCGACAGATGATGAAGTAGAACCTCTTTGTAGTAGTGATAGAGATGATGAGGAGTTAATTGATGTAAAGAAATGTGCAAGGTTTATTAGGAGACCAACAGAAGGGTTAGAAGTTCCCAGTGGGCTTCAAACACCAAAAGGGGTCAAGTACAAGCATGTTGCAAAGAAGCCAACCCCTAGATCTACCCCAATAAAGAAGCTAGCCACTAGATCTGCTCCAGTCTCTAGGGGTAAGAAGGTTGCATCGTCAGATCCTGCTGAGTTGAGTAGGTTGAGGAAAGAGAAGGCAAAGCTTGCAGAAAAAAGGTACAAA